CCTCCCCCTTACCGTCACTCTTCCACTCAATCTCTGCCATCCAGCCTCACGGTCTCACAGAGACTGCACACAAGCAGGACTCCTGCAATCCACACACTTGCTGCTTGCAAAGAGTCTATCCATCTGTCCATCTCTCTCTCCATCTTTCGTGGCCTCCTGCACAGTACCACTCCTCTTCTCAGCATACTGCTTTCTTGGTCTCCCCTGGGAAGGGGAAGGGGTAATATGGTAAGATGAGGGGCAGAGGAGGGAACAGGGAGTCTGTGGAGGACACTGTGAGTTCAGGTCCGAGTGAGTCTCTGAACCTGAGAGTGTACACATGCCAAATGGGTGTGCCCTTGTGATTGCATTCTTGTGTACTGTCGGGTGTACCCATGCACTGTGCACATTCATGTGCCATGTATACACAGACTTGTGTGGTGTGGGTGTGCCCATGACCCAGGTGTGCACCTGTGTGATACAGATGTGCCTGTGCCCCTGCTATTCCTTAATGTGTCAACAGCTGGATGGGTCCTGGGGCCTCTGGCTGCCCTTCTCTGTAGAGGGTCTATCTCCTTTAGCCTGGGCTTCCAGAGGAAGAGGAGGCTAGTGCACGTGGACAGAAAAGAAAGGAACACTAAAGCTATCGTGCAGCAGATAGGCATCCTGAATTCTAGTCAGTGGTCTTCCCATGTAAAAGTCCCTCAAACCCTAACTCTTACACCCACACCCCAGCTCTGAGTGATGCCAACAACTCCGAGGACGCTGTCTCTTGGTGAACCAATACCTGGTTTCCAGGAACATTTCTGGTGCCTTTTTGTTCCTAGCTCCTTCTCAATGATGGCTGTAGGGTACTGCTGTCTTTGTGGGGGAGGCGGTGAAAATGAACCGGTCTCTTCCTCTTCCAATCACATCCTCTGTCACCTGGGCCTCCACTCATCATTTTACTTCCCTTCTCCTTGCCAAGCTCCTCATCACAAGGAAGCCCCTGAAACAGGTTCCCAGATGCGGTCCTCAGTTTCTGCCCCTCACACCAGGGTCTGCCAGGAAGCTGGGTTCCAGGACTCTTCCATTCCTTCTTATTCCAGGTTCACTGCACTGAGAAATCACCACCTTTATGCCCCTCCAGACCAGTCCTGGGTGGACCGCATCATCCAGAGACTGCAGAAGAACTCTGCAAAGGCAACCCCAACCCTACCCAGCCCCTGCCTCTTCCCTCACAGCCCCTGCTCAAGACCCCAACCCATGATCCTGCCTCTCCTTCCTGCCCTCTCCTTCCTGCCTAGGAGCACCTAGTTAACCCATGGCAGCCCCAGAGGGAGCCCTGTGTCCGAGTGAAGGGATGTGACTCACTGCAGTACTGGGGAACCAAGGATCAGAAGGGAGGACGAGACCTCCAGCAGCTCTGCACCAGACCTGACCCAGCAGAGACAGGGTCTGGAGTGTCAATGGGAGTGTGTGTGTGAGCAGGGGTGAGTGTGGCAGGAGCGCAGCTTCTCCTCCACACTCAGACAGCAATGGTTCCAGTAAAACCCAACCGGTACCCACGGACCTGTCTGCAATCTTGTTTGTGGCCCAGGCAGGGGAAGAGAGGTATGAGAGGGAGAAAAAAGGTGGGATGGGGGAAAAGAGTAGTGTACCCATTTGCCACACTTCAGCCTGAATCACTCTGGTCACTCCCCTACAGTCTAACCAGAAGGGTCTCTTCCTCCCTCCCCAGATGATCCTAAGTCATCCCATCTCTTAGCATAAACTCAGGTGTGACTATCCAAGGGGCTCATAAATAACAAAGACATTCCTATTACATGGGAAATTCAAAGAGACAGCTATTCCCAACCTCCCACGCTTGGTTAATTGCGCTCTCTAGGTTCTACTGCAACACGCTCTATTGCCTCCAACCACTGTGCTATGTTTCCTGTAATAATCTGGCTGCTCTACTGCTATATACCCATTCCTAGCGTGATATATCCGCTGACCGAATGACTGACTGTAGGAACAAAAAATCAGAGGAAGATAAATTTCAGCTCAGAAAGGAAGGGCTGTGACCCCCTGGCCATTAAGTGACTTGGACAAAGCCACTCACACATCAAGTACTTCTGTAGTCTGCTTCATCTAAGCTGAGACCTCTCTGGAGACCTATTCCTTCTCAGACCACAGCCAAACAAGTGGCAGGGTAGAGGGCAGAGCAAGACGAGAGAAGACTGGGAAAACAGTACTGGACAGCTTCCCAAAGCTCTCATCTTGCTGCCTGGGGCTGAGGTCTCCAGGGAGAGAGTTCCACAATCTGACACTATCCCTGACAAAAGACAGGCCCACAATCCGTCCGCAACCTAGGTAATAGGGCCCGACTCCGCCCCTTTAGGGATAGAAGGACCCTGGCTCCACCTCCAGCGTGACACTTTAACTCCTCCTCCTCTGAAGAAACGCTCAGACTTCGCCCCTTCCGGGTAATAGGCAAACCCCACCTCTGGAGCGCGACGGAGTCCCTATGACGTAACGGTAACGGTCTGTTTCCGGGGTGGAGCCAGGGAGGGCGGGAGTTTAGGCTGCGCCGACCCCTCAGCCCCCCTTCAGGTGATGCTAGCCCCCGAAATCCTCACCTAGGGCCCCAAATATCCCAGGTCCATGACCGAAAAATCTTTCGTCCTGACCCCCTGGATGCCCCAGGCCCCCGCGGTGACCGACCTCCTAATTCCTTAACGTCTGATGCCTCCCAATTCTTCAGTCCCACCCTGTCCCAATGTGGCAATTGAGGCTTCCCGGGGGCACCTGCCTCAGATTATCTGAGAACAGGTCAGACTGGTCCCGAGAATGACAGAAGGGGACCTGGGGTTGGAGTATCCTTGATCCAATCATGCCGCTCCCCAGGAGACGTTCGGAGCCCAGGACATGTCGGGATTGAGGAGATACGAGGTGGCGCTGGAGGCGGAGGAGGAGTGAGTGGAGGCGGGTTCTGCGGAGGAGGAACCTAGCCGCTCCGGGGTTGGGGGAGGGCGCGAGTTCTCCGCGGGCGGGAGGCGTGGGGCCCCTCAGGGGGCGTGGGCTGCGGAGGGAACCGCCTCCAAAGGGCGGGGCGGAGCCGTCCAGGGGAGGGGTGAGGCGTCTGAACGGCGGAGTCCGTGGGGTCAGCCCCGCCCCGCCCGGCCCGGCCTTTTTTCTGCAGGATCTACTGGGGTTGCTTCTACTTTTTCCCCTGGCTGCGCATGTGGCGGAGGGACAGGAGGTGAGGGGGCTGCGACACCAAGGACCCGCCCGGGGCGTACGAGGCTCAGCCTCAGGAGGACGGATGGGGGGAATCCGGGAGTCCCCTCCCTGCCTCATGCCACTGTCGGGTTGCCCCACAGCTCGGCGCATCCCCGGGAGCAGAAGCTGGAGCCTCTACGAGGCCTGATGAGCTGTCTGTCAAGCGGCCTGGGCCCTGCCCCCCAGCGCTCGGGTCGCGGCCTCCCCCGCCGCACCCCCACCGCCACTGCCCAGCCAGCCGGTGCATTAAAGATTTAAACCGAAGCCACCGTGCTGCCCTCCTGACTCTGCCGCCGCTGCCGCCATTCGGGAGCCCCTCTACACGCCTGCTTTTCTTTACTGACAGGGCTTCCCTCCCTGATAGGGTGCCCTTCCATATCCTGGCCCCGGTTATTACTAAGGATCCCTTCTCAGTGTCAGGCCTCCCATTACTGTCACTGACTGCCCTGCGCCACCTAACCCCCCCTCCCCCCCACACACTTCACTGTAAATAGCCTATATGCTGGGAACTAAGTAGCCCTGTCCCCATCTTCCTCCCAGCCTATCCCCACATTGATGTGTTCCACCTTCCTTCTAGACAGGGTTTGGCCAGGTGTCTTGGAGAATCTTCTTCTGAGAGTGAATCTAAACTACTGTAAGCCCAGAGTTGTAGGAGGTAGGCTGTGAGGAGGAGAGGATTCCTAGACGCTGACTCCCTCAGCCTGCCACAGGGGAGTGACTTTGGATGGTTGGAGATCTTTCCTACAATTAATACCACAACTTCTGGCTCCCCCAGTGTTTCCTAGGTTAAAGATACTTGGCATCAGCTTACCTAGCAATTCTTGCTCTATCCCTAGGAGAACCCAAAGGCCACAGCTCCCTGCCACCCCTGTCTTGTCACCTAGTTGACCTGAGACTCTCTAGCTCCTGAAGTGCTGAGGGTGAGGGACTCCTAGTGGGCCTGCTTTCAGTTAGGGAGGAGACCCAGCACCAGAAAAGGTACAGGGAAGATTAAGTTAAAAGAGACAGCCCAATTTATGGGGCAAAGCTAACTTTCAGCCTGGGGCTCCCCCCACCACAGCAGACTGTGGCTGGGGAGAAGACTTGGCCCTATCTTTGGAAGAGCCAAAGGGGAGAGATGGGTGCATACCTGGAAGAATTCATTTCTTGTCTTCCCAGGTATCTGGACTGATTGGTCCAGGAAAGGCCACAAAGTATGTGGCAGACAACCAGCTGATGGAGATCTGGGATAAGTAAATGGTATCCCAAGAGCTGCACCCAAGCTCTGAGGCACAAGTCCAGACTGGAGGGTGGGAGAGAGACTCCAAGGCCTCTGGTACTAGCAGTTCAAGATGAGTGACCTCTGGGTTGTGGCCACCTTCAAGAACGGACTCAGGTTCCTGAGCCATTTCTTCAGAATGTCTACATCAAGAACCCTGTCAAAAGTGGAGTGCCCTGTCCAGCCCTGGGCCGACACCTCACCAGGACACTGTCAGAATTCCTGAGTATCCACAAGACAAACTCCAGGAAAGGGCCTTCAGGCCTCACGCTGGACAGGAAGGAGGAGAAGCTCGAGTTAGCATGGGACGGGAACTAGTTCTTACTCTTGGAACGGATGGTCCCTCCCACTTGTTTCAGCAGCCCTGCAGCAGCAAGATGCCCAGGATAGGTTTGCGTCCCTATCCCCGGAGAAGGCCTGTCCCTTAGAGAGCTGGCCACAGAGCAGAAGGCTGCAGAAGGCACCCTTACAACAACCAGATAAAGTCTGGATTACGAGGTTATGACTCAGTTTATGTTTCAAAAAGAAAGCAGGAGTTGAGGATTGAAATCCCCAGACCAGGAGTGGGAAATTCAAGGTGCCAGAGGCACTAAACTTAGCAGCTTGTCCCCACCACAGGCAATCCCTGGCTTTCTGGAAAGGACAAGAGGAGGAGGAAGACTTTTTTGCTTTAGGGGGTAAGGGGAAGAAGGGAGTGGGGGCTGGAAATGCAATTAGGAGACAAGAGACAGGAAGGAGAGGAGAAGTTAGGGAGGGTTTTAGCAAGATGATGGGATGCAAAATGTATAAGGGTTGGGGGGGATGTGTATTACTGGATCTGGGTGGGCAGCAGGGAGAGGCTGGAATTTGAATAGAACAAAAGAGAAGTAATTGAGCTCTTGAGTCTGATGTCTCAATAAGCCAGGACTGAGTCTGGAACCCCCAGGCCCCTGCTGGCAAGAGGCTGCTATTTCTGGGACAGGACCAGGCAAAAATAGGAAGGTAAGATTTCTTGGGTCTTTTTCTTGTTTGACAGCAGCAACCTGGCACCAAAGAACTTTATCTTCTCTTATCTTTTTGCCTTATCCACCCCATCCTTCCGCCCTGTCTCATCTCCCTGGGTAAAGCAGCCCTCACCTCAGCATCCCAAAGGTACCCCAGTAGCACCCAGCTCCTCACTGTGGATGTGACTGTCCTAACCAAGACTCATCCTCAGCCAGCAGAGCTTGCTTTAAGGATCCATACCCATCAATTTTTCCTGATAAGACAGGCAAGCTAGGGCAGGAAGGAGAGAGGGGAAGATGAAGGCAAGTTGGTGCTGGCCTGCCCTCTGCTCCCACCCCACCCACAATCCCTATGAGAATTTGTGTGTGATTGAATGGTTATAAAGACACAACTATGTGGGAGTGGGACTTCAAGTAGAACTGGGGCTATGTGATTCTGTCTCTGGACATAAGGTTGACTGAGTGATTGAGGTGTGACTGTGACTGTGGGTTTGTGAGTGTGAATGTCCATCCCTGGACATGTGGATACTTAGGTGCCCTTACTCAGTCACTGTACCATCAGTCTTCATATCAGGCACTACCCCTCTCTCCAGCTTCTCTGTCCAGGGCTTAGAAGCCAAGCCAAATGGCAGCCCTGGAAGAGGAAGGGGTCTGCGGCAATTAGGGCCCAGGAATGTCACAGGATGAGCAATACATCTTCATCTGCCTCTGACTCACCTGGTGCCCCAGGTAAAAGGCACCAGATAAAAGGTAGGGGAGAAGGAGGAGGAGAGAGAAGTACCCAGGCTGAGCAGCATGAAGGGGCCCTCATCCACAAGCAGCCTCCTGCTGCTACTGCTGTTGCTGCTGAGCCCAGACCCTGGAACAGGTGAGCGCTTGGGGGGTCTAGAAGGGCATTTCCTCAGAATGCCTCTGGGTGAATGGGATGGAGGGAAAGGGACCGAGGAAGTCCATCCTCCAGGGGTCTGAGGGAAGGGTTTTGGGTCAGGAGCCCTCTGAACACATGGCCCCATTGTCCCCTAGCACTGCCACTGCCAACCAGCATTACCTGCTGTACTCAGCTCTATCGCCAGCCACTCTCGAACAAGCTACTGAGGAGGGTCATCCGGGTGGAAGTACAGGAAGCTGATGGGGACTGTCACCTCCAGGCCTTCGTGTGAGCTCTGACCCTCTCCCTTATACAAACCCCTGACCTCAGTCCCATCCCCTGATGCTGATCCCAACCCCAACCCCAACTGCTAATTCTGATGCTGACTCGGGTTTTCATCTAGCCTTTGCCCTAACCCCTGGACTCTAACCTCATTGCCAAGCTATGACTATGGCTTTGCACCTTTCCTTTCCCAGGCTTTACCTGTCTCGACGCAGTGTCTGCATCCACCCTCAGAACCGCAGCCTGGCTCGGTGGTTCGAGCGCCAAGGGAGGAGGCTCCAGGGGACTCTGCCTAACCTGAATTTGGGGCTGATAGGGAAAATGGGCCAGGGCCCCCAGGAGCTGGAACAATAAAGCAGCACTGGACAACAGTCTCTGACTGTGGTTTCCAAATTCTGTGCATTCTCCTGTGGGCCCTGAATCTGAAGCTGGGAGACGTGTTAATAAACAGAAGAACCTCCTCGTTCTCTTTATTCACATCGTCACAAACCCCTCCAGGGGCAAGGCCAAGTGCCAAGGAGCCACAGATACTCCCCAGGCACCTACATGCATACATTGAGAGAAAACATGTTCCCTACCTCACATACACATGGGCACACATGGACACGAACACACATTCCTCAGGTGGACCTCCAGCTCTGAGATGAAATGAGAGGTCCAGGAACCTTTCAGTTGGCAAGTCTGGAACAAAGTCTGACAGAACTGGGTTCCAAACAGAACCTCCAGCTGAGACCACTCCCCGCCCTCCTGCCTCCGTGGGGATCTACTATCCTGCCTGGGTTCTATCTGTCCATCCACACCAGCAAGACAGAGTTATAGGTGGAATCAGCTGAAGCCCTCCTGGGTCATCTACAGGTTTGGGGCTCCTAGAAGAAGCAGGAGGCAAATCAAGGAAGATAAAAGGACTAGATTTTGGCCCAGACACCCTGAAAATGAGGGAGGGGATGAAGGTCTGAGCCCAACACCAAGAATGAGTAGGGGAACCCAGCTCTGAACCCCAACACCCTGAAGATGAAGTGTTCCTAGTTCTGGACCCAGATACATTGAGAATAAGGGAGGGGACCCAGCTCTGATCTAAGACACCCCAGAATAAAAGATAGATATCCAGCTCTTAGCTTAACACCCTGAAAATGAGGGGGGGCCCAATCAAAGAACCCAAATACCATGTGAGGGAAGGAAGAGACCCAACTCTGAGCCCAAGGACTCAAGAATGAAAGGTCCATCCCTGAGCTCAGACTTTGTATGAATGAGGTGACCCAACTCTGATTGCCAACACCCTTAAAGTGACAAGAGCATCTGGCTATTAATCCAGACACTCAAAATGAGGGTACACACCTCTGAGTCCAAACCTCCTAGATGACCTACTCACCTGGAATCTTGTCTACTGGAATCACTGGAGCCAAGAACCCAGGCTTTTGGGGTCCATCCTTCCCATCTGGTCTCAGTCTCAGCCTGGAGCACAAAAAGGTAGTGGGCATCTTTGTCTCCTCCAAAACAGTGTATAAATACAAGGTCAGGAGAGAAATCAGTGCAAATAATGAAGTGGGGGTTGGAGGAAGAAGCGGGGAGTTGTTCCAGAATCAGAGAGTTTCCCTAGGAAATCATGAAGGGTGGGAACGTGTGTGGTCTGTGGGTATCAGAACATCTGTGTGGGATCCAAATTTGAGGGACCACAGGCAGTTACTTACCAGAGCCCCAGTGCCAGGGCCCCAGCTGCCAGTCCCAGGAAAGAGAAGATTCCCAAAGATGCCAACACTGCTACCTGCTCCAGGGGGTCTCTGTGGTCTGAGGGGGGAGGGTCACAGGCCACAGTCAGCGAGGCTGCCTAACCAAACCCTTTCTCTCCAGGGCTTTCCCATCCTATACAACCTTTGTTCACCTGCCCAAGCTTACCAAGTGGCCGTGGGTCTGGCAGGAGGGAGGGCCTGGGGGGAGCGGGGCTGTCTGCCTGAGGCTCTTTCTCCAGGGGCTTCTGTAGCTGTCCCTCAGCTGGCATCTCCTTCAGCAAAGGCCCTGAAGGGAGGCGAGACCTGAAGAGAACTCTCCACACGGGGTGGCGGTGGAAGACAGGTTCTGCGAGGGGAGGCCAGGGCCTGGCTTGGACACGGGGGGAGTCCAGGAGGTGGAAGCCAAAAGGGTAGAGCCAGCTTCTGAGGACCTAACGGAGGTGGAGGCTGAGGGGCAGGGCTTAAACTGGGGCAGGGCTGAGGAGAGCCAAGGCTGAAGACTGGGACCTCAATTGCCACTGGCAGGGCATGTGCGTGTAGCCCACTTGCACACCAATCCAGCTGACAGATGCTGCAGGACAGGCTTGGTGCCCATGCCCTGGGCTCAGTCTCTCACCGGTGCTCGGAGTTCCCCAAGCCTCAGGACTCCAAGCACTCCATGTGCCAGCGTCCAGAAAGTCCCGGGCACTGACTCGTACAGCGTGGGGCAGCCCAGCCACGGCGTCCGTGATCACCTCCTCCAATCCAGCTGGCTCCACCTGGGAATGAAGATGGCTCCTCGGCCAGTTATCTAGGTTGTTAATGCCAAGCCTATCTCCCCCCAGCCTTAGTTAGCGAAGAGCACCCCTTCCTCCCAGTTCCATCCCTGTCAGACTGGGGAGTTGTCTGGGCCTCACGTGGGGTGGCTGGTGGCGTCAGGTGTACACCAAGTATGTGGAAGATGAAAGTGCATAGTGGTTACACAGGCAGCCTGCCTGGGTTCAAATCCTTGCTGTAGCACTTACTGAGTGACCTTGGGCCACTCTGTGCCTTAGTTTCTTCATTTGTAAAATAGCGGAGAATATACCCGAGTAAGATAATGCATACTAAATGTGTAGTATGGTGCCTGGCGGGCAGGCAGCGACCAGTAAATACTGGGCATTATCTGAAGCCGCTGCTCCCCAGACTTGCTTCCAGCCAATCTTTAATATCTTCAGAGGTGGAAATTCACTACTGTCCTCATCTGAATATATGAATGTTTGTATGAGAATGTGCCTCTGGGTGAAAGGCACTCCTTTTTCTAGAAACGTCATTTGCAAAAAGCCACTCCTGTCCTCCCACAGATGGGCTGGCATCAGAGTTACAGCCCCCACAGGGCAGAGACTGGGCCTTTCGCACCCAGCGGCAACCCCAGCACCCAGCACAAAGGATCACCCAGGGACAGTACTCTATTGGGAGAGGTGACAGGGCTCTGGTGACCTGCCAGTACACCATGTAGAATAGCCAGGGACATGAAACCAGAGGCAGAAGCCATAGCCCCAGACTGGGACACATTCCAGGCCTCACCGTGGACCAGGCCGGATGCTGTGCTGGACGGTACTGCAGTCGGAACTTGAGCAGAAAGTGGGGCTGGCGGGGCCAAGAGGCAGGGTATGTCCAGCTGGCATGCAGGCGGCGGGGGTAGCCAGGAACTGACTCTACCCGAAGCCCCTGGGGTGGGTCAGGGCGCACTGAGGGTAGTGGAGACACAAAGTCAGGACAGGACAAAGGCATATACCCACCAAGGGAAGGTGGGTATATGCCTAAAGGTACCTGAAGGAGGCATTTCCAAGGGGTTTGGGGAAATCTTAAGCTTGATCATCCTCTGGGCTCAGGACCTGTCTGTTATCCTTGTTATAAAATGAGCTGGGGCGCCTGGGTGGCTCAGCCAGTTGGGCGTCCTACTCTTAGTTTCAGCTCCAGTCAGGATCTCAGGGTTATGGGATTGGGCCCACGTCAGGCTCCATGCTCAGCATGGGGTCTGTTGTCTCTCTCTAGCTCTTAGCTAGAGCTTTAGTTCCCCCTCCCACATACGGATCAAAAGGAAAGAGGGGCCAGCAAGGGCTTACACTGGGCAGGGAGGACACGAGGCATGGCTGCCTTTAGCACAGGGCCTGGAACCAGAGGCAGTCTGGGGCTAGGCACCCAGGAAGAACTTGTGCACTAGAAGCCAGGAGGGGCTAGGGGTAGCAACCTCTAGAGGCTGAGGTAACCCTGCCTCCTGGGCTGATCATTTCGGCTTCTTAGTCTCCACAGTAGCTACCTGTGTGCTAAAATGGGGTCTCCATCAGGAGGGAACTGTTTGGGAGCTCTGGCAGATGGAGGTTCGGTGTTGGGGTTTCTGTGCCCTGAAGTCCATCTGGGGTCTCTGAGGCGCAGCAGGAATGGGTACTCACAGATGCTCTGCAAGCTCACATCCAGCAGGCGTGTGCTGGCCCCCAGCGGGTTCACCTCAGTCACATTTATTCGGTACTGGCTCCAGAACTCTGCCCCATGGACTACACAGCGGGCAGCCCCTGGAGGATCCTGTGGGCACGGCCAGGGCCCTGTGGATGGATTCATCCTAGGAGGGACGATGTGGTTGTGGGCTTTGGAAATGCTCATTAGGGGATCCAGCTGGAGTCCCCAGCCTCTCCTTTATGTCCTACCTCACGCCATCAGCTCCTGGTACGGTCTTCTTCCTGGCAGGAAGGGGACCATCTGAGGTCAGGAAGGAAAAGAGGATCCTCCCTCCCTCTAAGGCCTTCTGCCTCCCATGCACACCCAAATGTATAGGCTTACACACCCAATCATGCACACACCTGTAGGAGGTGAGGTAGCGGGTGGGTAAACCGCTGACCTGACTGGGACTCCAAGTGCAAGAGAAGTTCTCATAGTCAGCTGCTTGGCAGGAGACAACAGGGCGGGCTGGGGGGTCTAGAGGCAGAAGGTGCAACTGAAGTCTGAGAAGTCCCCAGGTCCTTCCCATCCTAGAGGGCCTACTCAGGGCCTGGATGCCCTCAACAGCCCCCTGCCTCATCGCAGCCACCCAATATTCCCTCCCCAACTCACAGCCCAGCTGTAGGGTCACAATTCCCCCAAGTGCACCATCCAGGGTCCGGCAGATGTAGGTGCCTTCGTCGGTGCTGTCTGCCCGGGCCAAGACCAGTTCATGCCCTAGCCCAGAGTCAGGTCCCTGGAGCAGTCTCGTCTCCCCGTCCCGAAACCAGGACACCGGGGCCCTGGGGGTGAGACGAGGTGATGATAGAGGGAAGATTTAAAATGTTAACCTAAGCCACAGCTCTCCATTGGCTTCTCACTGAGCTTACAATAAAACTCTTTTAGGTCCTTTAAATCCAGGGGCTTACAAAGCCCCTGGTGATCTAGCCCTTGCCTTCCTTTCCTTCTTCAGCTCCTCCCTCTCGCCCCCTCACCCACTACACTCCAGACACATTGGTCTTCTTTCTGTTCAAGAGTATTGAACTCATTCACACCTCAGGGCATTTGCACTAGCTATTCCCTCAGTCAGGAATGCCTAACATGTGCATGGCTGCCTCTTTTTTGACCTTCAGAAATTAGCTTCAGTGTCACCTCCTCAGAGAAGCCTTCCCTTATTACCAATAAAAAGTAACCAATCAGAGGCGCCTGGGTGGCTCAGTGGGTTAAGCCTCTGCCTTCTGCTCAGGTCATGATCTTGGGGTCCTGGGATCGAGCCCCACATCGGGCTCTCTGCTCGGCAGGGAGTCTACTTCCTCCCCTCTCTCTGCCTGCCTCTCTGCCTACTTGTGATCTCTCTCTCTGTCAAATAAATAATAAAATCTTTAAAAAAAAAAAAAAAAGAAGAAGAAGAAGTAACCAATCAGTTATCTTCTTCCACATCACTTTTTTCTGATTTTCTGCCCTGCAGGTACCACTCCCTAGCAAGATTTATATTTGCTGGGGCGCCTGGGTGGCTCAGTGGGTTAAAGCCTCTGCCTTCGGCTCAGGTCATGATCCCGGGGTCCTGGGATCGAGCCCCGCATTGGGCTCTCTGCTCAGCAGGGAGCTTGCTTCCTCCTCTTTCTCTGCCTGCCTCTCTGCCTACTTGTGTTCTCTCTCTGTCAAATAAATAAATAAAATCTTTAAAAAAAAAAAAAGATTTATATTTGCTTATTATCTGTCTGGCCTACTAGAATCTAACCTCTACACAGGCAGGCATCTTGCCAGGCATGTGAGCTGCTAGAGCCCAGAGCCTAGAACAGACCAGGGACTGAGCAGGTCCTCAATACATGTTGGTTCAAATTTTCCATGAATAAGGATGGTCTGAGGGTTAGGATAGCTAAAGAGATGAGGATTAAAGACACGGGGCAAGGATGGGAGGGGCACGAGGACTGGACAGAGTCAAGAAAGGGTCATGACTGTCAGCCCGGTGGGCAGGGGTGGGGGACTTACCCAGCAGTCACTCCAGGGCAACACAGTGTCATGGGCCTGCCAGCCTGCCCATACTGGACCCCTGTGGAGGGCATCTCTGAGGAAAGGCTCTTCCCATCCCTCTCTCCCATCCCAGCCCCCACGACGGGGTAAACAGCAGACTTTTAAGCCTGGGTGGGGTCACTGGCTCAAAGCATCATGTCATAATCTAGAGACAGAGGTCAGAAGACAGGGCAGAGAAGGAATATTGCCTGGCTGGATGTCAAGGGTTGGGGGTCACAGACTAGACAAGGAAAGGGTTCACAGGGAGGGTGGCAAGTCATAAGTCAGAGTTGGAGACATACAGCAGGATTCTTCTTACCTGGGGGGCCCCAGGCCTCGGGACAGGGGGAGGCGGCAGACACTAGGGCTACAGCCAAGGCAAGCAGGACCCTGCTCAACCCTGAGCAGCTGCTGCTCATCTGTGGAGAGAGAGGCAGGGTCAGCAATCCCCCATGCCCAGATGCGAGGCTAAAGCCTGCCTCCTCTTCTAAACTGGGAACTTCTAGGAAGAAAACTGGTCCCAAATGGGATGAGGATATCAGAAAACAGCAAGGGATCTGATCTAAGGTCCCCCTTTCCACCATACACCCATACACATACATGCAAACACACAACACACACACACACACACACACACACACACACACACACACACCCTCCATCTCAGTCCTGGGCCTAAGGCCCAGAACAAAAGCCGGAGGCGACAGACTGTGCCAGAAGTACCCCCCCACACATACACCACCCTTGGCGCCCACCCCTGGCACCAAGTGCTGGCACCAGCTCAGTCACTCCCATTAACTCCTCCAACCCAGCTGTTGGGAATTCCAGTGTCTACCCCCACCTGGCCCAGGGCAACTCACTGCCTCTGGTTAACCTGAGAAAGCCTTCATCAAACTTGGGTGGGGGTGCTGTCGTGGTGGGTCTGAGCCCACGCTGTCTTCCTACCAGGAGGCCTAGCCCTACTCTGGCTGCCAGGCCTCTTCTCTCCTGAGCCCCCTCTTCTCTCCTTAGGCCACTCATCTGGGCCTGACTCTGGAATCTTGTTGGTCCTGAGCCTGTGAGGCTGGATGGGGCTGGGGTGCAGGCTGAGGCTGCAGAGTTAAGCAGATCCAGATGCCTTGGCTGCTGCCAGAGGCTGGAGGTGGGCAAGGAGCCAGGAGATGGAGACAGGGTGTCGGGGAGGGGAGAGAAGGCTGAGGAGTGAGAAGCCTGCAAGGAAGGGGCCTGGGGTGGAGGCTACAGGACCAAAAGATGCTCCGACATCAAAACCAGGAGGTGGTGGGGTTCAGGGACGCAAGGGCTGGGCTAGGGCAGAGGGAACTAGAAAAGCAAGGGAGGTGTATGATAACCACTGCCCGTGGGAGTGCTGGGAGAGAGGGATTCTGGATGGGAGAAGAGCAGGATGAGAAAGGCAGTGGGGAAGTGGCCATGGGCACAGGAGGAGCACAGAGGGAGAGGGCCCAGGCAAGCAAGGGCTCCAAAAGAGGAAGAGCACTGAGCCCTCTCAAGCAGAGCAGAACAAGGGCCTCCACATGTCTGTGTATCGGTCTGAATGTGTCTAGTGGCTCACAATCCCCCCCCACCCCAGCCACATTCACCCGGCTCAGCCCCGCCCTACCTCGGTGATCCCAGTAGCTGACTGTCCATGGCCTCCAGGACTTCCTCCCACCAGCTACAGCACCCGTCTCAGCTCCACTCAGTTCTGGGACCCCAAAATCATCCCCTCCTTCCCCTTCCCTCCTCCGCCCCTCTGGGCCCTAGAGCTCAGCCGCCCCGAGCGAGGCCCCCACCTCCCTCATTCCTCCTCCCTCCTCCCCTTTTGCCCCCCTCCCACCCGAGGCCCTGGGAAGGGAAGAGGCCTCCCCCCAGTCTAGAAAGGAAGCCACAGGCACAGTCAGGGCCAGCAAGAGAGAAAGGAGGGCTGCTTATGTCCCTGTCAGGGAGAGATTCCTTATGTTTTCACCCAGCCACATTCATGCGTGGACTCAACTAGGCGCAATCAACAAAAAGACACTCCCTTGAACACACAGGGGCATAACCAAATGAAAAATCAGACACAGACTCCTGCCCCCACTCTTTTCACTCCCCAGCAAATATTTCCTTGGGGCATAGCTAGCTGTTTTTTGAGGGAAAGGGAGGCCCCAGGTTGGGAGGTATAAAGAAAACCCAGAGTCCAGTCCCTCTGCCCCTGGACGTTCCAGCCATTTCTCACCTCCCCCTCCACTCTTTGGGCCCCAGCACCAGGAAATGCCTTTGGTCCCTTGGTGCCAGATACACAAGACCCACACTTACCCTCAGACACACACTCTCAGATATAGCCACTCACAGTCACATGGACACACTCAGACACCCTCACTCAGACTCATACCCATACCCTCACACACAGACACACAGACACTTAGCACTCTGCCCCAGGATGGGGACGCAGCACTCCCTAAAAGCAAATCCTCATGATGGTTTCAGCCCCTCTTTCAGGGAGCTCTTAACATGGCAGATCCCACATCTCATCACCGTTCAGGCCTCCATGTACCCAAAGAGACAAAGGTGAGCAGGGGAGCGAGGCACAGGGGTACAGAGAGAGAGAGAGAGACAGAGATGCAGAGGACGTGAGAGGCAGATACACAAGAGATACCTGGGCAGACAAAACTGTGAGGAGGAGACACAGATGACTGACAGCTCTAGAAAGACAATAGTAAGGAGAGAAAAAGAAATAAAAGGAAACTGAGACAGGGAAACAGAAAATAAGCAGTAGACCAATGAGAGGGATTCCAGGGCACAGAAAGGAAGGGAAGATAAGTGTGCTGGCGTGGGTCTGTCTTTGCTGGGCGTTAAGCAGATGACTGATGAAGTTGGTCCCCACGATACAACACAGCTCCACTCTCTCGCAGCACACAGGACACACACATACTACAAGTCTCCCTCTCGCTCTGCTACTGCTCAATCACACAATGCACACATAAACCCAGCCACCCACTCTCACATAGTCTTAAACCCCACAGAGACCTTCCCCAAACCCATTCCCCATGCGGTGACAGGCCCTCTCACACACCAACACACAACCCAGTCTCTCACCAAAAACTGCACATGGACAGAACACATAATCCCACACTCTCACAGCCGCATGCACACTCGACCACACGCGCACTGACACACGCAGTCATGTAACTGACAGCTGCACCAAGCGGTACTCAGTTACAGGTCCACACGCTGACATCGTCACACACAGCCTAAGAGTCACACGCACACACTGACAGTCCGTCAGCTGGTCCAGGCCCTTCAGATCGTTCACTACCCTGCCCCGCCCTCTCCTGGCAGGCCTTCCCAGGGGACTCCCGCCGCCGCCACCACTCCCCCACCCCGCCCTCCAAGGCCTCACCTTCTGCGGCCTCCGCCGCCTGCGCCCTCCGCCCTCGCCCTCTGCCCCGGCCTCTGCTCCCTCCCGCCCTGGGGCCCCAGCAGAGGGGGCGGCTCCGCCCAGGCACCAATGGAAGGACCGGGGTAAAAAGGGAGGGGGTCTGGGCCCATTGGAGCCTCCAACTGCCAATCACCTCCACCCCACCTCTGCCGGACACTTCCTGTCCCGTCCGGGACTGAGGAGACTGCCGGGGGACAGAGTGTGGAGCTGGATTCCTGGGTCCTCGCCTACAGCACTGCCCTGCTGGGACAGCAGGACTGGAAGTTTTCAGGCCCCTCCTCCTTCCAGCAGTCTAAAAACAAAGCCACAAGTTCAGTGGCTCGGGAGCCATTGGGCAGGTGACTGGAGAAGCTGAAGGTGCCCCAGACTCCAGATAAGGACTTGAGATAAGGAGGACTTCTGTGGGGCAATGGTTCTCAAACTTTGCTGGACCTTATGGTTTTAAAACTGGCAAGCCACACTCCAAACCAATTAAATCCGAATCTCTGGAAACTGGCCTTGGCATCGGTGTTGAAAACTCCCAAATGATTCCAAAATGCAGCCAAATCAAGGGTGTAGGATCAGGTGTTTGTAGGTGTATGCCTTAAGAAAACAGCCACCCCCATTCAGGGTTCACATCTACTCCCCAGTCACTGGGGTCTCAAGGGAGATGTGTACCATGTCTGTCTGAGCTCCCTCCAGACGCTCCAAGTCCCAGGCCCTACCCCTCCAGGGTCTCAAGAGAAAAAAAAAAAACAAAAACAAAAACAAAACCCGGACTAGAAGGCAGGCAGTCAAGGTACTCCTGGGCCAAGTCATCACTGCCTAGCCTTGGCATGACAGCCCCTCCCGAACTCAGTTATCTTGAGAGAAGAACTAAGATGAAAAGTCTCAGGCCATCCTTGTATTGCTCACAAGCCCTATCCTCACCTAAAAGTTTGGAGGGCACTAGGTGGCATCAGGTCTCCTGGGTCACATGCCCTATTATTGCCACACACTCATATAATCTTACCAAGGGAACAGGTGCAGAGGGGAGGGAGCAGACTCAAGGGTCCCTTCTTCCCAGGCTGGGGCTCCTAACTCTGACAGGCCCTTTCCTGCCAAAGCTGTTTTCTTGCTTTCCTTCCCCTGCAATCATGGGGTCCCATGGGCAATACAAGTGGGCAGATCTTGCCCATATACGCTGCACGTGAAAGTCTAGACAAGTCAAGGACACAAAGCCATGTGCACGTTCCCTACCCACCCCTTCAGCCCCTGTGGGCTGGAGCAGGGCCAAGCTGCAGCCACTCACAAAGCCAGGGTTCTGGCCAGCAGCCCAGTGTCTGGCCACTGACCACTGGGACCAGGATCCTGTTCACCAGCTCCCCACCAAAGCCTCAGGCCTAGGCCTAATGAGCTGATGTATCATCCTAGGGGTGGTGGTGAAGGGGGCTCTGGGCTTCCCAAAGCCTTAGCCACAGACAAGAACTCGGGATTTTAAACATTTCTTGAAACTATGATGCCTTTGTTACTCCAGAAATACGAGAATCTATAGGGCAGATATAGCACTGAGTCTTCATTTGGGTTGAGATTTGGGTCATTTGTTTTTGAGTATCAGCAGGCAAAAGAAAAGTTGTGGCTGGTGCTGCGCCATCGGCCTTTAACCCAGATCCCTGAGGATTATAGTTCATACTCCTCTGTCATTAGAATATGTGATTAAAGTTTGAGAAACACAGTTTAGTTTTATTGATTCCACATCTCCCCAACCCCAGTCCCTGGTTCCCTCAAGCAGAAGGCCCTGTGGTCAGCGTGGTTAGGCGATGGTTGCTGTCTCCCTATCCTTCTGCCCCAGGCGGTAATGAACCTCGGGAAGTGTCCTTAGTCTCTCCGCAGCCTGGAAGGGAACAGGGGACAATCAGGGAGGATAAGGGCTGCCCAGAATGGTGGTATGGAGTCTTATGAGCGGAACAGTAGTAACGACTGCCTAGGAGACACTGGGGGCAAAGCTTGTAGGACCAGGAGGCTGGTGATAAGGACTGCCAGAATAACCAGAAGTAGAGCTGAGCAGCTTGAGTCCTTAGGAATGCCTAGGTTATGAGGTTTTTAGGGTCATGATTGTTAGGCTCCCCTGGAGAAATGGAAGAGAAAAGAACCCAGGGTGCTCTGAAATCTGACCTGCTCGGGAGTGAGGTCCCTCTGGGCCTGGGCAAGCATTTCATAGCCAACCATGAATTTCCGGATGGTGGCAGAGCGCAGGAGTGGAGGGTAGTAATGAGCATGCAGCTGCCAGTGATCCCAGTTGGCTCCAGCCTCTGATCCCGTGGGAGCTCCTAACAGGAAGAAGAGAAAACTAAAGAGCCCATTTTTAATTCTTCCGCCTAGCCCCTACCCCCAAACCAGGTTGGGTACCTGAAAACTACATCTCCCAGCATTCCTTGCCAGTAAGTAGACCAGGCATTGGAAAACACTGAGAAACAGTTTCACCAAGTCTGTCGTTCCACTTTCAGTCCCAGCATCCCTGATCAGGACACTTCCCCCCAAAAGTATTTCAAAGCCTGCTGGGAGCTACAGTCCACTAATCTCGGCCTCAGGACCTCAGAAATGACATTGGGGCTAGGTATGGATGCTCAAAGTCTTACCATGCCAGCCCATGGAGTAGGGAAAGGACGTCTCAAAAAGGTTGTCATACTTGGTCAAGAGCTTCTTCATGATAGAGGCTAGATCTGGAATCAGAGCCTGACTCTCAGCTAGGGCCAAGATGTTGGCCCTACCAGAGCCATCCCCATCCTGAACATGGCCCCTGGGTCAGTTGGGAGACTCACCATCACGCTCAGCAGGGGTCAGCTCAGGCAGGCGCCGCACATGCCTACGGGGCAGCAGCAGTGTCTGGTAGGGCCACACTGCCCAAAAGGGGACCAGTACCAACCAGTGCTCACTGGTTAAGACCAAACGTTCCTGGGCAGACCAAGTGGAGATGAAGTCATCAAAGTGGGGGAGAGGTGAGACGGGGGAGGGGTTGTCAGCAAACAGGAGAAGAAAAAACGTACTCAGAATCTGATGGTTTCTCGCCACCTCCACCACCACCACCACCCAATTTAAGCCACCATCCTCTTTCCTTTAGATTACTGCTATGGCTTCCCATCAAGTCTCCTGCTATTTCCCTTCTGCCCTTCTCCTTCACAGACCTTTCTCTTCTGGAGTGAGATTAGGGGTTCCTTGGGAAAACAGGGTCTGGGTTTTTCCCACCTTTCTGAGCAGCTCCTGGTGGCCATATTCCATTAGCAGGGGCTCTCCATGTTGACTCTGATAGGCCCGCTGAGTTCGATCCTCACGCTGGGCAATATCCGGCAGAAAACTACTGGCCCACACCTGTCAAGGGGCAGGAGGAGAGAAGAGCTGGCAGATCCTTCACCCCCAAGCCTCCACATTACTTAGTCTGTCCCTCCAGTTCCCTTCCCCACAATACTGCCTTGGACTCAGCCCAGAAATCCACTGGAGCCTCTGACACACTTACCTGGCAGTGGGGATGGGGGTTGGAACAACCCATCATAGCTCCTTTGTTTTCAAAGATCTATCAGATAGAGGTAGGGAGCTTTAGAAGCCAGAGAGACAACAAATCAGCTCTCCCGACCACACCCTTTGAGAACAGGAATACCGCTTCCCAGCACCAAAGCTGTGTCACCCCCTCCCTGACCATCCAAGGGAGGGGGCAACCTCACAGACCTGCACCCAAGGATACCGGGCTCCCAGCTCCTCTGTCACTGAGGCCCATGCATCAATGACAGTGCGGATCTCAGGCACCGACATGAGTGGTAGTGTTACATCCGACCAGGGGTGGAAGCACATGACCTTACTAGGTAGCGTGGGAGAAGAAATGAGAGAGATATAGGGCTTAGCTGTTTCTAAGAGCAGAGCCCAACCCTAGCGCTCAGTCGAAGCCCTGGGTTGAAGAGAGGAAATCCATAGTTACCAAACTCCTCGAGCAGCCTCTGCTTGGAAAAGGGGATGATCACTGGGTCCTGAGGTAAAAGGGTGTCGGTCTGCAACAGAAGTCCCCCAAGAGGTCCAGCCTCTCTTCCCCACCCTCCCCCCGCCCAACAGCAGCTATAGCCAGGTTACCTGGATTGGGGGCATCAGGCTGCAATGCTGGGAAGTCGTTGTCAAACACAAAGGTGCCATCATAGTAGGGATTCACCTACTGACAAGGTTTTGGTAGAAGCATTTGGGGCTCCCTACCCACAAGTCACGTGGGCTTTGGGGCTGGACAGGCTACAAGGGGGTGTGGAAGATGGGCTGTGGGGTCAAAGACTTGGTGGGACCTAACACAGGAGGAGGTCTACTCCCTTGTGAGTGAGGGGCAGCTCTAAGAGGGAGCTACTACTCCTGGTCCGGTTGCAGTAGGAGGTTCTAAAGGCTTACCTCTCCATTGGCCCGTGTGGCCCCGGGACACAGAGGGTTGTGGGGGTCATGGCGGGGAACTGTCGTCAGGAGAGGGGGCTCTACTTGCCCCTGCCAGGGCCGCTTCATGCGGTGCGCTGACACCAGCACCCACTCATCTTGAAGCGGGTTATAGCGGATATGCTGATGTTCTGGGGACAGAGAGACAAGATCAGTCCGCAAACTCTCTGACCCTCTCTGCCCTGGGTCTCACCCACCAGCAGGCCCAACCTCAGAAGCACGCTCTCAGCCCTGTCCGGCTCAGGAGCCAACGGCCCGCGCTTGAGCCTTCCCAGCTTCCATTAGCCTAGGACCACAACTCAGTCGCGCCAGCTTGGCGGGTGGGCGCGCCAACCTGGGGGGGAAGGGACGATAACTTTCTAAGCAAAGGGAGGGCTCGGCTCCGCGTTCCAGCGAGTCCCAGACGCCCTGCAGTTACCGCTAGCCCGGAAGGTGGTGGCGGTGGCGTCTGCTTCTGACGCCTGCTGGCGCTGCTCAGGAATTGATCCGCTGCGCGACATTAGACCACTTCTGTGGGTGGGGATCGTCTGGAATTGTACAGAGCCGACTCTCACCCACCTCCGGGTCTGCCCCGCCCCGCCCCGATGACTGGCCAGTAGCCAGCACGTGACTGCCAAAGGGCCCGCCCACGCGCCCGCCCAA